TTTTAATAAGTAAAATATGGAGCAAGAACTACACTATGAGGCAGGAGTCCCAGACACTCTTTTCATACTCTATGACAGTTTTCTCTCAGCTATGGGTTAAGACAGTTCATATAATGATGTCTATTTCCTATATATATCTCACAAGGTCATGTGAAAGGAGGGTCACTCATTAATTTATTCACTCATCAGACACTTTCCAAACACCTACAAGTATCCCAGGCATTGTGTTAGGTGATAGGGACCAGAGGCAAGATTTTTTTTGGCATGATGAGGTTCACAGATATACTAGAATAATAAAAATATATAAAGACTATTCTAATACAATGTGTTGGTATGAATAGAGCATTTCATTATAACACTGAGGCCCTAGGGGGTACAAGGAAGATTTCTATGTCTGATGCCCTACCTAAATAATTTGCTGTAATCTCTTTTCCATGGATCCATGAAATCCAGGTACTTAATAAATATGCGAGATAATGTCCAAATTTCCCAGAATGTTATGTAAGAACCTCCTTTATTTTGACCTCAGCCAGTTCTTCTGGCCTTATTTTCCATGTCTCTCCTCTCTAGTTCTTACATCCAAGCTATATTTGAACCAATATATAAAACCTCTCCCCCCTCACATATTCCTTACCCTGTACTGTACCCCAAAACATGCTGCCTTCTTAGACTTCTTAAATATAGTAAATTATTTTTTGAGAACTTACAATGTGTCAGGAACTGTGATGAACAGTTTATATATAAATATATATAAATAAATATATAAAATCTCCTTATATATAATCTCACTAGATCTTCATAAGAAAGGTTGATATCATCACCCCCTTTTACAAATGAGGAAAACAGGGTTTATGACTACAACAAGTAAGCACCCAGAAGAGCACGGCCAGTCAGTTGCTTGTCTCATTTTTGTTTTCCTGTTCCACCCCTCCGAGACACAACCTCTTTTTCCTCATCACCTATCCACTTCTCACCTTGATTTGTGCCCCCAGCACCCCACTCACACTGTTCTCATTAAAGTCACAAATAACCTCATAATTTCCACATTTAAAAAGTTTTGAGGGCCTGCTTTATTGGATGTTGCTTTATATTTATCATATTTTTATTATATTAAATATATTATTTTAATAAATAATAGTATATTATATTTTAATAAAAGGCATCGGGCACCTTCTTTGGTCAGATGTTGGGAACCCTCATCCTGCCCTCCAGCAGTAAGAGAGAGCACGGAGGAGCTGTGGTAATGCGGGGCAAGGCTGCAGGGGCTGGCCTGTGAGAGCGAGAGGGGTACCGTATGCCAAATTCAGACTGTAGCCGGGTCAAACCCCACACCCTGGCCTCATCCCTACACACATCTGGTTCTGCTAATACTCACTGAGGAGAAAGGTTCCCCTTCCTGCCTGACAGGGGACACACTTTCCTCAGGTCAATTAATGTTTCATCTCCAGCTTTGTTGGCAAAAGGCCTTTGATCAGGGCCTCTTGAATCTCCCAACTTGCCCTTCTTCCCTACTCAAGCAGCAGCATATATTAACCTGCCTGTCCACCAGGCAGAATTACTTGCTGGTGTACCATAAGAAAATCTGGCAAGGCAACTAGAAAGTATAAAAGGATAATGTTGTAAAGGAATGCTTCATTCTCCATGAAGTCTCTCAGCATAAAAGTAGGAGAGTTATTGTGCTTCATAATCCTTCATATTATGCTTTAATAACCCTAGGTCAGTACTCAAACTATGTCACACTACCAGAAAGTTATTATTTATTAATATATTATTATAATAAGAGTAATCAGTTATTATTTTGTATTCCCAAATTGATCTGATTGATACCAGATTTTATGGAAGTTCTTTTAGACAAACCAGTCTGTGTTTATATGTATAAATTCACCTCTTTGAACTCTAATACTGTCCCTAGGTAAGATTATTTTTACACCTTTACACCAACACTCAAAAACATGAATACAGTATTTCATTATAGAGTATTTTTTTCTGAATTTTATTTATGAGGATTTTAATTCAACTGCTTACATAGCATTTTCACTTTTGACTTACACTTTAAAATTTAAATTCTTTAGGGATTTTTTTTTAGCATAATGTGCTTATACTTAAACATGCCATTACAACCTTTGGAACAAAAATACACTCAACCCAATATTTGTACTATGTTCAATATAATACAGTAACCATTATATTTATATTTCTATTAAACATTTCTAGGGAATAAAATGTTTGATATATATTTCTATATATTAATATGTATATTAATATATTCTATTTATATATAGAAATATAAACATTTCTATTTCTATTAAACATTTCTGTTTCTGGGGGCAAAAGACAAATACCATATGATCTCACCTATAAGCGGAACCTAACCAACAATGCAAAGAAGCAAGGAAAATATGACCAGCAACACTGAAAGGAAAAGAAATCAACAGAGACAAGAGGGAAGGGGGGGCAGGGAAAGGGAAGGGAAGGGGAAAGTCAAGGAACATATAGCAAGGACTCATGGACAAAACCAAAGGGGAAGAGCTGAGGGAGGGAAGGTGGGAGGGGGCAAGGGAAAGAGGTGGGGGGAAGGCAGAGACAAATGTATTTAAAAAGTAAATAAATTAATTAAAAAAAAAAACATTTCTGTTTCTATTAAACATATCTAGGGAACAAAATGTTTAATAGAAATGGATTTAACAGGATCTTTTCCTATAAAAACTTTACAATCTACTGGGGAAGATAAGGCATTAACCTAAATATTTATAATACATGCTGTAATTGAATAATTATAATAAAAGATGTTCAAGGTGGGAGAAAGCTATCAGAGTTAAACTGAGGGAGAGTTTTCTTTCCCTGAAGAACCAAAGTAGACTTCATGAAGGAGTCAATATCTGAGAAAAGACTTTAAATATGTAAACTTGTAAATATTTTTTTCATACACCTTATTGAACTTTACCTATGTTCAAGACACTGCACTAAGTGCTATGGATGCAGAAATAAACAGGAGACAGACTTTGACTTCAAGTTGTTTTTAGTCTAGTGAGGAAGAAAGATAAAATCAGCCATTATAACCAAGTCTAAAGGAGTTATATTGAAGATTTTCCAAAAAGGCTACAAAACTATAAGAAAAATGACAGAAATAAGGGAGGAAAACCAACCCATCTTCAAAGGGAATTTCTCTAGAAAATGGGTCTGCTTGAGCAGAACTTTGAGTATCAAGTAGCCTAGGCCAAAATTGCCTTGAGTCTGAGGAAAAAAGAAGCATTACACACAGAGGAATCAAGGCCTCAGGGGTAGAAAGGAATGAAATGTGAATTTTGGTGATAATTTAAGAGAGCAAAAAAAAAGAGGTACAAGATATAGAGAGAAAATGACATTTAGGTTAGGCTATGAAAAAAGTTAAAATCTAACTGAGAACTAAAGACTTTTTTCAGGAATAGTTTAATAAATTATTATTACTCACTAATAGTACTAATTAATAGACAATTCTATTTATTTTTACCAGGTTGACCAGAAAATTGCAACTACATTTCTGATTGAAAAATTTACATTGTTGTCATCAAGTAATGCAGTCATGGGATAGTCTCTAGATTTTTTATATTAAAATTCTACTACTGACTACATTAAACTTCTCAGAGTGCCTTCTTTTGCACCCTGGTCATTTTTTATTTTTAGTTTAAATTTGTGAGTAAGTCATCTTATTTTTAATTCATCTTATTTTTATTTCATGATGACCTCTATTCATCACTCATAGGAATTATTAAGAAAAATGGAAACAGGAACAATAGCTATTCCCAAACAATTCAGGAGCCAGTATTTCTCCATTTGTGGTAAGATTCATTTTTATCCACTACTAGTGAATTAGGTTGTACTTTGTCTTTTCATTTGGAGCTTTGATAGCATAAACTATAACCTCCTAACTAAAACATATGTTGGCAAAAAAAAAAATTCCAAAGTGTGTATTTAGTCTCCAGTTTGATTGCTATATATTTAGTTACATTAAAACAAAATAAATGACCAACTTGGGAAGAAACATATCAGTTAGGGAAAAGAGTAAATTTAAAAACCAGAATTGCTTCATTAAGAATATTTTTTTAATATCTGGTATCATCACACCTGCATGTTTTTCTTCAAAGGGGCCCCATAAAATTACTCTCCACTGACTATGGAAACCCCTACATCTCCTATTGGTTATTCTATTATCTTGCCTGAGGCAAGAAAAAAATGTTTAAGCCTGTCACACTTACTGAGAATATGTTTAATTATGTGATTAGAATATTTTAAATTATTAGCTGAGAATAAACTTCAAGAATAAATAAATGTTTTAGTCCAGTAGACCTGGGTATGGATAGCCCAGTGTGAGCCTTCTATCACCACAAGGCAGCATGAGAATACTAGATGCGTGGAGGAGATGTGAATACATCATCAGGAAGTCAGTGAAGGTTACAGAAATAAAGATGGGGTGGCACCAAAAATAAGATGTCTACTCTACATTTTTGCATAAACCTTAGTAGCAGCAAAAAGCCAATTCACCAATAGAAATGTTCTCCCAACTACTCTGAGATGCTTGCAAATGCATGAACTGGCAGATCCCAAACAGGACATCTTGGTACTGACTCATGCTCACTGTCAAGGGCAATTCCCCATCCACTATTTACTCCAAAGCCAGCCTCTGCATTCCTGACATTCTACTACCCCTGTCAAAGTCATATTACAATTTCATTAGAACAAATAGCCAGTGACAAATTTTCTCTCTTTTTCCCTTCAAAATCCCTCCTTAACTTTCTTTCCTTGGCATTTATTTCTTGCCATCACAGACATGGGTCTTCTCCTACTGCACCAAAGACTCTCCACCCTAAAGAAAGCATTCAATCTTGCTGCTAAGTTTTGGGATGTGATCTTCTCCCTATTTCACTTGAGGCAGCCCCACACTGGAGGCTCCATGACCATAGACAGCCTGGAACAAAGGATATGTAAACAATATTTTTTTTCATATAAGAAGAAAAACCTACCTGCCCATGCTTTTGCTGAGAAGCCATCCTGTGGGGCATTTCAGGATGTGATGGGGCCTGGAGATTTGTGGCCTGTGTTTTAGGACGTACCACATCAGAGACCAGACTGGAGGAGATAGCTAGAGACTTGGGCCGAGTCGCTGTGGTGCCCATCCCCACTGGGGGAGTTTGTTCAACTTTTCTGCTTGTGGCTTCATCTTCCCCTTCAGAGTCCACAATAAAGACATATTCAGCTTTGAAGAGGCCACTTTGCTGCATTCCTTGAGGCTCGTTTGCTTTAAATTCCCTTCCTTGTGAAATCTTTCCGCTGACCTCTGAAGGATGAGTCAATGTGCCAGGGTCTCTCTCCTGTTGGCTCCCAGCATTCAATGTCAAGTACTCATTGAAATTTGACTGCAATAAATGTAGAGACATAAAAGTATTGACATTGGTTTGACACTTGCTTCTTTTTTGCTTGCACACTTAAAAGCTTAACCTGCTTATGAACAAGAATTTATAAAAAACAAACTTAAAAATCAGGAGAGATTAGGTTGTATTTAACAGTTGACTTTTACTAGCCTACCTGTTTGTCCTAGCCTAAACCCAAACAATGTAGGGCTTGGAATCAACATCAATAAACAAACCTGCTTTCTAATAAATTGTTAGAATGTACTGGGACATGGAGGACTGAAGCCGCTGCCTAGGCTGGAACAAAGAAGGTATACGTCACCGGCTAAATACCCAACCAAGAGGTTCCCTACTACTAGAAGCAACTGAGGCATAGCCACAGGAATCCTGCTGGAAACCAGCTGAATCCTCACTGCCCCTCCCCTCTCCTCGAGCTTTTCCCAGGGGCAAGGCCCATAAATCTCCCAGACTTTCTGTGACTGAATCAGCCATCCCTGATCGGAGAACATTGTCTAACAAACACATGTACCCAGGACACCTGGGTCAAATCAGCATGGTGCCTCACCCACCCCGGGGGTATGCTACACACTCTTAAAAACCTTTCTACCCTTTCCCTTGCTGCTGCGGTCTGCTCATACTCAGGATGTCCGATCTCAGTGTCCTGCCTTGAATAAGAGCCCTTTTGGACCTTTTTGGCTCCTGGCCCTTTCTTAGCTACTTTGGCTACCTAACATAAATCATGAGATGACCTTTTAAAAAAAAGAGAAAGAGAGAGAGAGAGAGGAAGAGAGCAATATTTTCCATGAAGATATTCATGAAACAAAAGGAGACTGGTCAAGGGCTTAGTTAATGGTCAAGCAAAACCTGTATATTCTATATAAGCCAGGGGATAAAGGAAATCCCACTGAAAGATCCTAGAAGAATGTAAATCTCTGTAATAGTCTGAGAGAAAAAAATAAAATCAGGACAAAATGCACAGGTATTAGACAAAACAGTCTAAGCTAATTGGAAAGAACTTGTGACTAGGACATAAAAAAAGATAGAAGTTTTTAGCACAGACTATTTTTTACTGTCATTTTATCTTGTATTTGTAATTCTAAATCTTTTCTCATCCAATTTTCTATGAACACACAGAAAGTTTGTAAGACCGGGAGTAAGACAACTTTACCATATTACCAAAAGACTTTGTTCTAAAAAAGACAGTAGCTATGTGTGCTGCCATAGTGCTTAAAAGACCCAACGTGAATTTTCTTGGTTTTGATAACCATACTATGTTTACTATTTTTCTTTAAAATTTTCTTTAAGTTTAAAATTATTTCAAAATAGAAAGTTAAAAAGGACACTAGTTAAACTAAAATAATTTCAACTATTGTTGTCAATTTAATATATGATAATATGTATGTATATGTTTTGTGTGTATGAAAACAGAATAGAAATCAAACCATTGATTAGGTATAACTAAACTAAGGATATGACTTTACACACCAATTCCCCACTTTCCAGCTGATGATGATATAGTCAAGATAACACAAATTGCCTCTGATTAGGATTTCTCTGATAATGGTCATTTCACATATTAATTACAATACCATATAGTAACAAAAACCCAAATTGGAAGGAAGTGTAAAGTAAAAGCAGTGCTCAGTGACAGACTCCTTACTATAAAAAGTAATGGAATAACTAAAAAACTGGCAAAAACTTGAACTCGTTTTTGAAAATATTATTAATGTCCTAAAATAACTCCTTCTTCCATAGTCTATCATTCTCTATTCCTTTACTCTGAAACATTTTTACAGCATTCATCAATACCTGAGATTTTATATACTTTTCAATTTTTTCACTGTCTGCATTCCCAATAACAAATAAGTAATCAGTTGACTTTATTCAGTCAGAATCCACAGCACCAAACACCTAACATGTGTTCAGTCAGTAGTCGTCAAATATAAAAAGAATGAGGGATTATTTACCATGTTTGATTATAATACTGAACCATTTAAAAAATAGAAAGAAAAAACTTTAATCTTATTTTAATAATGTAGTTGTGTGTGTGTATCATTGCAATCATCAGATAAATATCATCATTCTTGAAAGCTTTGGAGATTTGCAACTGAAATTGGTTCGTGTATCTACAGCTTCATGTAATCATAGCACCTAATAACAAAGGATACTATGAATATACTATATGTAGTTGAGTACGGTTGGGGAGAAACTTCCCAGAAGAGCCTTACATAATATTCAGGATTTCTCTGAAATAATTTGGCCCCAATGATCTTTGAAATAAGATAACATTGAAAATCTCAGAAATATAAATATATTACTACTTATTAGGTAAGATGTTTTCATATAGACAAAATAAATCAGATTATTTCCTGTCCTTCCAGCTGGCTCAAGAATACCACAGTTCTTCTAATCACATTTTAGTTAAAATAAGGTAGTATTAGAACACATTTTAAAGAGAATTTTTTAAAACCACAATGCCATTATTCTATCACAAGTCATTTTCAGGAGTTTTTTTGTTTAATTTCAATTTAAGGTCTCATTTTAGAAAAGTATGCTCAGGGTGTAAATGCAATTTTAAACCTTTTTTGTTACATAATATTTTAAGGTTAACATTTTCCATGGAACTACATAATCACTATAATCATAACTTTGTCAAGGAGATATATTGTCATCTTCTTAACTTTTCCGGTATTAGGTTGTTTTTATTTTTTTTCTAATTATTTTTCTACATAACATTTTTGTTCTTTTGTCCTATTTGGGGGATACATTTCCAAGAGTTAGGTTATTGAAAGGCTATGAACAGTTTTATAACAGTGGATAAAGGTGTTCCACCAAAACTGTTCATATTCACAAAACTAGAAGCAAAGTGCAAGCATGTAAATATCTCCACAATTGCCCCAACATTGGGTATTATACTTTTATAATGTTGCTAATTTATTACATGTAAGGTAGTAGCACCTCACTATTTAATCTTGTATTTTCTTTCAAAATAAGTTTAAACTTCATTTTAATTTTTTTACTATTTTAAGATACATTTGAGAGAAGGGGAGGTAGGAGGAGACAAACAATAGGATATCAACTCAGCAAGATTAATAATAATATATTAGAGAGAACCTGAGATTAGATAACATTTAAGTTCCTATTACATAATTATATTTTTAGTCAACCTTAGATTTCATGGCTGTCCCACTTTAAGCAGAGGAAGTAAACATCCATACATATTTGTAAGTTATTATTATGGATAATTTAATGTCAATTGCTTGATATAAAAAAGAATAAAAATAATCCTACCCTATTTACAGTTTCTGGAATCTTATCACTTGGTTCCTCAGGAATTTTAACAAGGAATTTAGAGATGTCAGCCAACTGAGAGTGGGTTGGTAATCTTCTGACAGTGGGGACAAATGTGAAGATCAAAGGTTTGGCTTCAGAATCACCAGAAGAGACCTATGAGACATGTAATAAATTAGACTTGTAGTCTTGTCAAAGGTTTAGCTTGACTTTTTCTCTGTACACCATGATATTTATCTCATTTATTTTGATAAATTGCCTATTTTCATGTGATCATGAAAATGGTTACCAAAGAAAATAGCTGTAAAAAGTAGACGTAGTGCATCAGATTCTTTTTTTATGATACTCTCTTTCAGAAAAAGCAAGATCCTGTTATAGGAGATGACAATAAAATAACAGGTGGCAAGTTGATCGGCTGGAATATTATAGGGCCTATCTACCCCCGTGGGTTCATCACACACGCAGCTTCCAATCTGTTTCAAAATGGACTTTTATTCATTTAACCCTGGGTTAGCAGGTTCACTTTGATTTGGATCACCAAGCATGCAAGAAGCTTCCAACATTTATCATAAACAAGAATACTAAATATGGATTTAAAATTAGAAGTAAACTTTTCTGGCTATCAGGATGTGAATGGCTGCTAAAAGATATGTTTTATCTTTTATTCACTCTTTATGCATTCAAAAATAATTTTGTTAAGTGTTTTCTGTGTGGCAGGCAATCGGGAGTTAGGTATACAACAGTGAATAGAAGTCAATAGACGACTCACAAGGAGAAAGAGGGTGTGCACAGAATACTAAGGGACAAGTAATGAGGAATATCTACCTACCCAACCTAGGAAGCTCTAGGAACAAACACCTGAAATTTAAGTCCCAGTAAAGAGGAATTTAAAGATGTCCAGGCTTAGAAAACCAGCTAAGCAAAAGCGTGGAAAGAAGCAGCACTGTGGGATGTGGATAAAGCCTGCATGTTATCCTATTGCCAACTGAAAACAATTAAAGCACTGTAGAGTGGGAAATGACACAGTCACATTGGAATGTTAGATAATTCTGGTTTTGAAAGACACAAGGCAAGAGACAAGGAAGAAAAGTCTATAGCAAATAGATTGAGGAATAAATGAAAAAGGGAGAAAGAAAAGATGGTGCTGCAGACTTCTCTTTACAGAAGTCTGGATGAGAAGTAAGGAAAAAGGTTAAGAACAGTTGGAGAGGGAAGTAGAGTCACAGAGATGCCTTTTTGTCTGTAATGGGATACACCTGAACATGTCTGAAGGAAGAAACCAGTACAGAATGAAAGCAGAACAAGATCTTGGAGGGAGCAGGCAGAATAAGGAAACAAGAGGAGAAACACAGTCTTCTTAGAGTCCAGAGTAAATGAACTAAGATAAAGAAAAGTTCATGAATGTGATAAAGTGGGGAGAGTAGGAAGGTGAAGGGAAGTCAGTTTTGATCAAAGCAATGTCCGTGATAAAATCAGCCCCATCTAGTCAGAGTAACACTGTCCCTTTGCTGCCTCCATGACTCTGTCACAAAATATATGATGTGCCCTGGCAAGAGCCCTACTCTCTTTCCTTTCAAGTTGTATCACCTTTCTGTGACTTGGACAACTTGGACCTTATCTCAGTATGCCCTTTAACTCTGAATATGTAGTCCCTGTGAGAAACCCAGGCCTCTGAACTACCCCCCAAGCCCTGTATGCTACGCACACCCCTAGCTTTGTTCCCATCTTGTACCATGCTCCAACCTTTGAAACATTTTCATTGTCTGCTGTCTGGAATTCAGTCGGTCATCACAAAATCCTTCATATCCCTAACCTCTTCTCTAAATATTCTAGCTCTAACTGAATGATGGTTCTCTCTGAACAACTCCCATTTCCAAGAAGCTCTCTCTCAGTGGTAGCTGTTTTCTCTCACACTAGGCCTGGGAGTGGAACAGGTGTGCTCCTTACTCTTTTTTACTGCTTCCAGACAATTCTTTTTCTTTTACCTAAAAACTTCCAACTTTGAATCCCATGTCATCAGTCCAGACCACTCACTACCTCTCCTTGTTGTAGTCATCTCTCCACACCCAAATCAAACCCTTTTTTATTTGAAGATTAAGTTCCCAGTTCAATTCTACTCCCTCTAACACTATGATTTTTATAATACCCAATATCATATTCCATGGATAATTTTTCTAATATTATGTTGCCTTGATCTCTACTCTCCTTGCCTCTCACATCCCTAGCCTAGTAGACCGAGAGCCATAGTCCCTCCATAATTTCAGTTTTTTCATTCTCTGACCATCACTTCTTTTCTCTTCACACCAAGTCCACTGGTTTTCTAACGCTAACATTTCTCAGTCTGCCTGAAAGAAAGTCTACTGATCCTTCCAACATTAAGTTTTCCCATGCTTCATTTTTTAACCAGCTTGCATTTACCAAGTGACTACACTTACCACAATCACACCTAAGTATACTCCTCAGATTTCTACCCCTCTCTCACATTGTCATCCCCATTTGGGTAAATCACAGTCCCCACTAAATCTAATCCCATATCCCCTCTACTCCTGCATCAGAGAGGTAAATGTGCTTAGTGAAAATCTCATGACCATGCTTACTGGTTTTACTTCAAATTTATGACTCTGAGCTTCAAGCAGTCCCTTCCGTGTTGCTCTATATTAACACTATAGTTCCATAGCCCATTCACTCTTCCACCTGCCTAGAAAACTCACATCTTTTTTTCTTTCTTCAAACCCCCAACACCTTCCCTAGTTTTTCTCTGAGCTGGTGACTTTGTTTCTCATTCCACTGAGATCATTGAAACAATCAGAGAACTTCCAAGGTCCCCATCACCACATCGATTCACCGCCCCACCCCACCCCCGCCCCAATGTCTTGGTCCTTCAGTCCGGCCCTACTAGACACAACCCTCACTTGAACACTTTACCTTATGCTTCCTTTTATTTACTCAAGGTCTTATTAAATGCATACTAAATATGAGGCAATATTGCAGGGGCTAATGATATAACAGTGAACAAAAATCTCTACCCTAATGGAATTTACATTCCAGTGAGAGAAGCAGTAAAAAAGACATATGTAAAATGTATAGTATTCAACAGTCATAAGCTATGAAGACTGGCTATAAGACTATTGCAATAACCCATCAGAGAGAAAATGCCAAGTTGAGCATGGGTTGCTGCAGTTAATAATGATCAAAAGCGTTACATTTCTGGCTATATTTTAAAAGAAAAACTTAGAATTTGCTGGAAAATTAGATGTGGGATATAAAAAGTAACCAAGAGTCAAGATAAGTACAAAATTTTTGACCTGAATAATTTAAAAAATAATGAGTTAGTATTCACTGAAATGGGGAAAACAACAGATGAAGCTGGTTTGAGAATACCAATCAAATTTGATACGCCAAATACAAACCCAAGTGGAAATGTGGAGCAAGTTCAGAGGAAAGTCTGTGTTGGAGATAAAATTATTAGGGTTCTTAAGCAATGCATGGTATTTAAAACCACAAGACAGGATGAGCGCACCAAGGGGGTAAGCACACATAGGAGAAGGAGGGGCCCAAGGCTGAACCCTCCAGATTCTACACTGAAGTGATCCCACAGCAGAGGAAGAACTCAGAAAGGTGACATGGTTGTGAGAGAGTAAGATTTAGACGTACAGTAATTCTAGTTGAGATTGAGTACCTGAGATGAAAAAACAAGCAGGACCCTGAAACTGTGAAGGTTAAGGAACTGCGAGACAGAGTGTTAGCAGGGCAGTCCTTATCAAAACACAAGGCGGGCTGGGTGACAGAAAGTCTGGGCTGGGGAGAAAGACGGATGGCAGGTGGCTCTCCTGAAGTCGTGGGCCTAATGAACTAACTCTGGGCCACTTCCCAGAGTTAGGGTGTCTCTTTCTGGGAACTTAACAACTAAAATATCTATGCCTTATTAAAAATACATATTCCTTAGGGGATTTAAAATAAAGAGACAAACCCTCTGAGCCAACTTTTATTTTTTAATATTCCTTTCAGCGTGGGAAGCTGTTTGTCATTATTCCATGACTGCAGTCATGTCACAATTCCCAGGTTTCAGCTTCTTCTCAGAAAATAATAAATCAGTCTAGTCTTATCAGCCATACGTAACACAACACACTTTCTATATGGGTTATTTTCTAGGAAGCGCTCTTTACATAACTAATCTCATCAATATCAGGATAGATGACAAGTGGTGTTAGCAAGGAAACCCCTTAGGGAAGTTCAGATAATCCATCACATGTTTTCATTTAGAAGGCAAAGAAGAGGTGACAATGTGACTTTGTCCCCAGATTCTGGAGGCTTCCCTCATCCTCTCCCCGCCCCCCCACCTGCCCACCCCCCTGGATAGGTCTATCTTAGTCTCATCCAAATGCGATTTAAATACCAATGGAGCAAAGGCTTCGGTATAAGCACCCCATTATTCTGAAATACATATAACCATTACTAAAAGTATGTGGCTTTGCCTTCTAAAGCATATAAAATAATGAAAATTTACTTCTCCAAAAGCCTTACACAATTTGTGTAATTCAATACTACTTAATCACTATAAAATACAAATAGATCTCCACTAATATGAATGAAAACGGATGCTTCAATGAATAAGCTGTGCTTTCATAACAATGTTCTCAAAAGATTGTCTGAACATAACCACATGCTGACAATGAAAGCAAATGAAAAGAAGTAAAACTATTTCCTTCTACTTTATTTGTTGTATTTTCCTATGGAAGTATCCATATGCTACATAAAATTTCTTCTCCGGTCGTAAACAAAATTTTTAAATTTCAGTTTATGTCATTGAAAACAACATAAAAATGAAAAATCTAATAGGACTAAAGGCTCGTTCATCTTCCCAGGTTGCTGCTGGAGAATAAGATCAGGGATAAATTCCTGTCCACACACATTCCTCAGAAGAGCAACCAAAAAAAGAGCAATGATTTGGAATTCACTTTTAAGCTGGGAGTACGATGTGAGCATGGGGCTCTTTTCAATGTTACCATAGCACCTTCTTATCTTACCAAGGATGTACAAAATTTTTGTACAGCATTTTCACTGAAAAATGATTTGAAATTACACCAGTTACATACGCAACATTTAGATGAAGAGATAATTTATGTGTAGACAATTTTTAGATTGGTAACTTTGTG